ATTTATTTTTATATATATTTTAAATATATTAACAATTAATTTTTACTTACTCAACTTAATTAATTGATCAATCTTTTTTTTTTCAATTTTTTCAAACCCAATTATATAGTTCAATCCAACCCCCAAATCCAACCCAATTTGCTAATAACCCTAGAACTAGAAGGATTATTTCAAATTTTTGAGATTTGCGAATCTGCTTTGTGATTCCTCCTCTCCAGACTGCAGTCTCCTCTCCTCTGCACTGTAGCTTACTGGCTTTGTTTCTGTTCTTCAATCAATCAATTCCCTTCAACCTATCATTCTCGACAACCTTTGAAAGGCAATGCCCATCGCTTTGTTTCTATTCTTCAATCGGCTACTTACAGTTTGCCTGAACCTGAGTTGTGAGTATTTGTGAGTATTTGAGTATCTGCACTTAATGATTTATTTTGAGGTGAAGCAGATGTCATTCTTTTGGCCTTATTATTCCGATTTCATTTTCTCTTCATTGTTAGAATGCGATTTTCGTTGTTTACATGCCTGCGCAGCTTCTTGCTCACGTTCATAGTGAACAATAATCGTATTGTTATTTTGAGGCTCATTCAAACTCTTAATTCGTTATATCTTCAATTAATTTCTCAAACGAGAAACGAGCATCGAGTTTTATTTGGTGGGGACTCCGAATACCCGCGATGACTTATCATTCTCCACGGGTATGGTGGCGGAGGCTATTTTTTATCCTCTACCTAAAATTTCCGTGAGAATCCTCGTACCCGTCATTGACAGGGATGGGGATGGGGTGGGGGTCCCCGCCTCCATGGGGACCCGTTGCCATCCCTACCTAGACGAGTAACATCTAAGGTCTACTTGCTTTTAAGTCGTATGTGATTGTTTTTTTTATTCACTTTTTCATATTTGATAATCATAGTTAGATCTTGATTAATTTAAAATTGAATTACGGCAAACTTCAGTCAAAAAAACTCTTTAAACATTTATTTTTTCATTCACAATATTTGTACTTAAAACCTTATTTAAAGAAATCTGAACTCTTTTTACTCAAACTAATAAGTCGTATATGATTTTATTAATTATTTAAACTTAAACCTTATTTAAGAAGAGTATATGATTTTATTAGTTATTTAAACTTAAACATTATTTAAGCAGAAC